GGGGGGGGGGAGGGAGGGGAAGTGGCCGCAAAGCCTTGGGGGCAGCCCCCTCCCTTACCTGCGCCATGCTGAGGAGCCCACCCTGGAGAGGTGGCCAGCAGTTCTGGTCTGGGCACTTGCCCTCCTCCTCCTCCCTTCCTCTTCCCCTGCCTTGCAAGGCGCCCGGCGGGGCTGGGCTGAGCCTCTGCTGGCCGGCTGCTTTATCCTGCCCCTCCGTCAGCCGCCGGGAAGGTCACGGCAGTGGCTGCGGGAGGGATGCAAGGCGGGCGGCGGGCAGCGGCAGGCGGCTCCATCCCCTCCGTGCCACTCCAAATATTGACGGAGGAGGAGGAGGAGGACGGAGGCTCCCCTTGCGCTGGCCGACACCAGATCAGATTAGCAGCAGCAACGCAGGAGGAGGAGGAAGAGGAGGAGGAAGCCCCCAGGCTGAAGGTGACGGTGACGGTGGATGCCAGCAGTGCAGCAGACAAGAGGGTGCTTCTGCACAGAGGACGCCTCTCCGTCTCCGGCCAGCCAGCCTCCCAGGGGGACGGACAGTGGGGGTGGGGAGAGAGACCCAGGAACCCTAACCTCCCCCCGAAAGGGTGCGTGTGGGTGTGTTCGTTTGTGTTGGTGGTGATGGGGGGGGGGTGGACCACAGGCCTCCCCTCCCTCTCTCACAGCCCTGGCGCGTGCACGTGGGGGGGAAGTGGAAGGACTGCTCCGGCTGAGGAGACTCCCCCCCCAGCAGCTCCTGAGCCCCAGCCAGGCCACCCTCTCCCACCACCACTGCCCCGTCTCCTGGAAGCGCCTCCTGGTGTCCTCCCACCTGAAGGGCCTAGAAAGCCCCCCCCCCGCATCTAGATGGCATCCTGCCCATCTCTCAACACACACATACACACCCCACCCGCTGCCAGGGACCTCAAACGTCCGGCTGGAGGAGGACGGGCAGTGGCCCGAAGGGAGTCCGGCACTTGGTTTCAGCCCCGGCGAGGAGGGACACCTCCCGTTCATGGTGGCCCCCCTCTGCCTGGTGCCGCCAGACGGAAACACAAGGTGCATCAAGAAACGGCTCGGCCTCAGCACGCGCACACACATGTCAAACACACCCCGCCTCGCCCCCCTCCCCAGCTATAGAGCAATGCCAGTGACAAACCAGTCCCCCCCTCTTCCAATTGGGAGCAGGGGAGCAGGACAAGGCAGGCCTCGTGCGTGTGTGTGCGCGCGCGTGTGCGCTCTAGCTAGAGGGGTGGGCAGTCCATCCAGGCCAGACCTGAGAGGAGGTCAAGCAAATTCATCCCATTTGGCCCCACGGCTGCTCCTGAGTCCCTCCACGCAGCCCCGTGTCTTTTCTGCTGCCCCCCCCAACCCTCTGCCCACAACATACACCTGAGCTGAAAGAGGACGGCCCTTCTGGACTACACTTCCCAGAATTCTCCTGACCGGCAGAGCCCCCTGGGCAAAGTCTAACGGCACTCTGGCCCTCAAGCCCCCTCCCTCTCTTGTTCCCCCACCCCACCCCATTTTCAGCACCAGGTCAAGGGCCCAGGTGGGTTCAAATGCAAGCCACAGCCAGGCGGCCCTCTTTCACCTGGGGGTTGGGTCTGTGTGCATGTCTGTGCGTGCGGGTGCAGATTACCTGG